GGACCATCACCTTTCTTCCTCATGGAATGTTCACTCTTGAGACACTCTCTTTCTAAACCCAGACACCTTGCTGTAAGAAGTCCAAGCCACAAGGAAAGGCCATGCACAGGCACTCTGCTTGATGGCTCCCTCTGAGATCCATGGTAACCAACATCCAATGCCAGTCATGTGAATGAGCTGTCTTGGATATTAGCCCATTTTAAGCCTTCAGAGGACTCTTTGTGCAACCCCTGACTTGCTGCAACCATTAAAAAAAAATCCAAGTGAAGACTGTCCACCTGAGCCCAGTGAGATTATTAAATCATGAGGAAAATAGTTGTTGTTAAAGCCAGCATACTTGGGAATAATCCGTCAAAAAGCAATAGATAACCAAACACTCTTTTCCTTTGCATTGCAGTAGTGTTTATTGAGTTATTGGATGCAAAATGCCTCGCTCAATAGTGTACTTGATGCAGAGAAAACAATTAATAAATGTTCTTTCTTTTCTATTCAGTTCTAAGTTGAAATACAACAGTGTGGCATTGGAAGAACCCAAAATTATTTCAATTTCTCTTTTAGGACCTACCTTCTGCTTGTGGTCAAGTGGCAATAAAAACACTGGAATAGAGTTCTCTGACTTATTTTCAACATGTAATGACACATGATTCTGATTCAGCTGTGTGGTCAACATCACCTTTGATAGGTACCTTAATAAAGTTTTCTAATATGCTCTCCAAGGCACATTTAGGCTTATGGAAAATGTCATATTCAAGGACAAATAAACATTGAAACAAAAAAAAATTAACTTTATAAAACAAAATAAATTTATAGTTGTGTGATATATTGAAGATTGGGGTGTTTTTTTGTTTTTTGTTTTTTGTTTTTGAGACGGAGTTTCGCTCTTGTTACCCAGGCTGGAGTGCAATGGCGCGATCTCGGCTCACCGCAACCTCCGTCTCCTGGGTTCAGGCAATTCTCCTGCCTCAGCCTCCTGAGTAGCTGGGATTACAGGCACGCGCCACCAGGCCCAGCTAATTTTTTATATTTTTAGTAGAGATGGGGTTTCACCATGTTGACCAGGATGGTCTCAATCTCTTGACCTCGTGATCCACCAGCCTCGGCCTCCCAAAGTGCTGGGATTACAGGCGTGAGCCACCACGCCCAGCCCTGGGGTGTTTTTAATAGTGTTTATGTATGGTAAGAAATGTTTCGCTGAATCCTGTATGACAATTCAGGACTGTTGTTCTTTTGTCTCTATGTGGACAGTTCCATCTGCTCATCATGCAGCAGCCCTACATTTTCAAGTGCTAATCACCGTAAGATCTGAACACTTCATTCCTAAGCAGTTTACTATCTATAAAATTTTTAGCATTGCAAAATTCAGGTTCTGAAAAACAGTAGAACAAAGGTTAAAGGAATCCTTTCAGTTGGTAGTTTTTCCTCGATCAAGCTCAGACAAAGTGACTCTCATTATGTGTACACATACAAGCTAAAGAACCTGTATGAGTTTGTTTGAATCAAGTTCTGTGTGTGAGGGGCTGCTATGCTGGAGCCCCATTGCCTTCAGTTGGGATAGCACCATGTTCCAGACACTGATGAAATCAGAGACCCAGAGCCAGTGAATGGGACACAGAATTTATTGAGACAACTTACATACTTCCCCTAAGAACCTCTACCTAGAAATCCTCATTTAACCAGATACAAAGAGCCCCCATCCCCTGCATGGCCCGAATTCCATGGGAAGGGCCAGGGGCTCAGATGTTCCTTATAGACACGGAATGAATCTACGAGTTGGCCACTCCAGATTCCTTAGCTCAGAACTCTGAGCACACATTCTTCCCAGACCATAGGGTCATTCTCAGGGCCAGTCTCTTAAGATATTAGTGTCAGGTGCATCTGCAATACAGAGGCTTTTCAACACTCCCCCAGGCTAAATTAGTGTCTCCTCATCTTACAAGCAATGGTGTCTGAAGTCTCTACTTACTACTTCCACCTGCGGGTGAAAAGACAGAGGGTTCTTATTTACCTTCAACAAGCACACCTGGGGATTGCACGATGTAGGACTCGGTGTCTGGACAACCTGAGCCACAGGGTGGCAGCAGCGCGCCATGCTCCTGAACCCAGCAGCCTGGCAGGGCAGGTCCTAGAATCTTCACCATCATGCTCAGCACTAGTCACTGAATCTTCATCCCCAACCATCTGAGGTCCTCTGGGCATCTGGACAGCATCAGGCTGAAGGAATTACTTGTTTGATCCCATCTGCAACTCCAGGATTCTTTGTTTCTACATCCTTTCAGTCCGTTCACCAAGGGGCTTATCCAGTTTTATTTGTTCATCGGCTCATTCATTCATTCATCATGCACTTTCTTGTAGGTTCTGTAACTGTTCAGTTCATTGGAACAAACAAAACATATTTGACTTTTTTTTTTCTTGAGTTCTATGTGTCTAGTGGCAGAGGCAGGGTGACTTAGGGGAGAGGGCACATGCGGAGGCCCAAGACCCAGCTGTGACCAGCCTGCACTCTCACCTTTCACTTAGCTGCATGACCTTTAAATTATTGAAGCTCCTGCACAGCCCTGGCTCCTCACACCTCCTGCCATCTCTGCATTCACTCTGATCAAAGGCAATAACAATGTCTGCCATAAAGTTTCTGAAGGCTTCATGCCGTAAGGGTGTTGGGGGCCTTATCACATTCTTCAACTCAGGGTGGGAGCTCAGTGTCTGCCTTTAACCTGCAGCCATTTATTATGTTCTGGACACAGGCTATGATAATACAGCAGAGACAAAACCAGCCAGAGGCCCTTCCCAGAGGGTAATTGTGTTCTAGAGTGAAGGGAGGCCAGTAAGTGAGTGCAAGTAAGTGTGTAAATTGTTGCATGGTGATATGTGCTATGGACAGAGAGTAAAGCCAAGCCAGGCAGAAGATGGGGAAGATCACTATTGTTTTATCACTGCAATTAAAATTATAGAACATTATTCACATAATCAATTGTAATCAACAGAATGGGTATAGCAATACATGTGGACTTCCCTGTTACCCTAAAATCACAAAGTTGTTGTAGAATTGCTTCCAAACAGGAGAGTATGCAGGTAGATGAGTGATAAAGACAGAGAATTTGAGCTCAACCTTGAAACAAAGGGGAGGAATTAGCTGTCTAGAAAATGAAGTAGGGTTGGAGGTGAGGGGTCTGAGCGGGGAGCATCTCAGGTAGGTGTCAGGGTGCTGTGTGGAAGCTGTGTGTGTCTGTGGGTCTGTGAGCAGAGGCTGCAATCTGATGAGGAGTGGCTGGAACCCTGCTATGGCTCTGAGAGAACCAGCAGTTGGCCTTACAGTGACTGGGCTGACATGGCTTCAGGCCCCATGCTGGGTGCACTATGCACATTAGCTCATTGAAGGTGCTTCCAAACTTTATCAGGTGGGTACTGTTATCATTTTCAGGCAAGTTTGATCTTTAATCTAAACATACTAAACATAAAAGCATCAATAGAAAATTCATCCTTAATAGGAAAACATTTTTGTGCTTCAGCGTGTTTCCGGGTACACCCGGTCTGTCCCGTAATAACCCCCTAAGTGGCTGGACTGATATTCCCAGGCGTTTTGTTAAGGGCTCCTTGCTCTCCCACAATGTCTGCCTTAGATAGGCCAGGGCACATTTTTCATAATACCCTCAGGCCCCTTTGGTGCCACTTCAGACTTGCCTGTGATGTCCCCTGATTCACTTCCACCTTGCACCTGCTCTTCAAAGCAGCCTCTGATGCACTGACTGCAAAGAGAATTTTAAGCAGGAAGCACAGTTGGTCTGCTGTGCCGGGCATGGGGAGGACACGTTCTTGGGAGAAAGAAAAAGAAAGGTGAGTGGAGAAGGGCACCCTGCAGCTAGATTGAAAACAGGAGGTGGCACGAGAGAAATTGCATTGGTATATTGATTTCTTAATTCATGTATTTTCTTACTCATTTGAGTGTTCATGTGTTGAGTGTTCTTTGCTGTAGCCCCCATGGACACTGAGACGAAGGGATGCAGTGTCTTTAATAGTTCAAAGTCTACCAGAAAAACAGATGAGTAAATAGAAAATTATGAAGTCTGCTTGACATTTCTGCAAAATTTAACATTTATGCAAAATTTAATTAAGATTTGGAAATTTAGCATTTTCATGTGTCAGTTTGCTTAATGAAGAATTAGAAAAATAATAGTGGACATCTGTATAAGTTCATTTTCATGCTGCTGATAAAGACATACTCAAGACCTGGAAGAAAAAGAGGTTTAATTGGAGTTACAGTTCCACATGGCCGGGGAGTCCTCAGAATCGTGCTGGGAGGCAAAAGCACTTCTTACATGACGGTGGTAAGAGAAAACTGAGAAGAAGTGAAAGCTCAAACCCCGATAAACCCATCAGATCTCATGAGAGATCTCACTATTGTGAGAATAGCATGGGAAAGACTGGCCCCCATGACCCAATTACCCCCCACCCTGTGTGGGTCCCTCCCACAACATGGGGGAATTCTGTGAGATACAATTCAAGTTGACTTTTGGATGGGACACAGCCAAACCATGAAAGTATCTCAAAGATTTGTTATGAATAGTAATCAGGATAGAATCAATGAAGCATTGGTCTGACTTCGAAGGAGCAAGTGCTAGAGGAATATTAGTTACACTAATTGTTTTAACATTGCTTTATTGTTTTTTGACACACACATATAGAGCAGAATTATAGAAAAAATGAAACAGAGCAATTTTATAGTGACTATTTCCACTGAGGTTAAAGGAAGGGAAATAGGCCGGGCGCTGTGGCTCAAGCCTGTAATCCCAGCTACTCAGGAGGCTGAGGCAGGAGAATTGCCTGAACCCAGGAAGCGGAGGTTGTGGTGAGCCGAGATGGCGCCATTGCACTCCAGCCTGGGTAACAAGAGCGAAACTCCGTCTCAAAAAAAAAAAAAAAAAAAAAGGGAAATTGGTGTAAGAAGGGTACAAAAAAAAGGACACCTGTAATATTTATTTTTTAATAAAAATTTCTGAAGCACATGAGATAGCATTTTAATATTCATTCATCTGATATGAGGGCTGCAAGTGTACTGATTACAGTATAATATATTTACTCTCTTGTGTGTTTAACTGTTTCCCAAGATTAGTTTTCAGAAAAGAACTCAGCAAACAATGAAAATAGAACGTTGTAAGTGAAGTGATGCTTGAATCAAAGTAGGGTCTGAAGTTGTGGAACTGGGGTCAGGCGGAGAAATGTCGCAGAAGTCCTCCTAGTTATGTCCGGGAATAGAAAATACTGGATCTGGAAGAGGAATGAAAAATAATTCACAGCTTTAATACCCACTCCGTAGCAAGTACTACACTAGATTCTTTTTTGTTTGAACTTACTTTAATGAGAAATACAGCAAACAGGCAGAAATGTGCATAGCATAAATGTATGCATCACCAATTCTGATTGTGTAAACTTTGTAGCTAACCAGTGGTTATCAACTCGCAGGGGAATTTGCACCCTAAGCAACATTTGGCAGTCTAGATACGTTTTTTTTGTCTTCATAACTGCAGGAGAGCGTATTTCTGGTATCCAGTTAGAGGCGTCCACGAAAGCTGTTCACCATCCTAGCCGCTTAAGACAGCTCTCACAACAAAGAATTATCCAGCCCAAAGAGTCAACAACAGTGCTAATGTGAGCACCAGCCATCAAGAAATAGGATTTTCTGAACTTTGTAACAGACCACGTTCCTCTTTCCAACCAAAACCTTTTCTTACCACCCTCCTCAACCCTGTCCTACCCTAACTTTTGTGATAATCACATTCCTACTTTAATATTTTTCAGCTTGAGGATGTACCCCTAGATGCCTGAATTTAACCCAGGCCCTTCCATTAACATGCTGTATCATCTTGGAAAAATCCCTTCATCTCTCTGTGCCTCATTGACTTCATCTGACAGTGCGGCGCCAGCAGTGCTCACTTTGCAGCATGCCAGATCTCATGAGTTGGCACGTGTAAAAAGCAGCTAGAACAGAGCCAGGCACATAGGAGGCGCCCCGTGCATTCAACATGAGGGTCATATCAGGACTATTTCTATCAACAACAGAGGACTTTGAATGCTCTCTGGGCAGCTGGTCAAGGTGTATAATTTCAGCACTGAGAGAACTGAATTTCTACACTTTCAGCAATCTGAGTTGGCAACTTCACACAGCATTAGGAGACCCTGTCTCTATAGTTCTCACTGCACAGTGCCGGCTACGGCTTTTATTCCCAGGCCTGGCACCTCTTTCCTGCTTGTCCTCCAATATGTAACTCAGCCTCTCTGATCAGCATTGTTTCTCTCTCCTATTGCATAACAAATAGGGGCATTTTGATTCATGAGGATTTGGGGCAGGTAGAGAGCAGATAGCAAGTTGCGTTCAACTGAAAAAGACTCCTCATTGCGCAAAAGATATTGACCCCTTGACACTTCCTCTGTTGCATTATCTAACTTCCTCTTGGCCTGCGGCAGCATGGATTTTTTAATTTATCTCTCTCAGTGGCTGCAAAGGTACTGGAGCATAGCAGGTCCTCAACACTAGGATTCCTTTTCCCTTTTCTGATGTTACTACTCCTGCCTTTTCCTGCCACTGGCAAGACTGAAAGGGATTTTTCTCAGCCCTTCTAGGCCATCAACTTCACACAGATGAGAAACTTTGTTAAAAGGGAATGAGGGTGACTGGTGTTATGTTATACGACATGATACCTCATAGCGAAGTACAATGTGAATCCATTGTGTGTCCAGCCTTTTCTCACCCTGGAGTGCAGTTATCCTCTGCCCCCACCTCCCACACCTCTCATCCAACTAATGCCCATTTGCTGTTCAGATATAGAATCTACTGTAACCTCTTGATGAGTAAAACACACAGATTGTAAGGTATACCACCACAGCACTCATTCTCCCAGCTTCAGAACGGGTCATATACCCACAGCACACAGTTGAGTCCTCTTGGCATAGGAGAACTGCCTCTACCAATATTCTATTCCTTTTCCAGAGGCAACACATGACTAAGGAGAGGTTGTGTGTGTGTACAAAAGCGCTTCGTCTTCAATTTCAAACAACTCTAAAGGATCACTCCCGCTCTGGAATGCCAACTGGCATCCCCCTTGGTTTTTGTAGCCACCACATCACGGGTCCATTTCTGCTCTTCTTCTTCCAAGTCTGTATTCTGGAGAACATTTCCAAGTACATTTTCCTCATGAAAACATAGCTACTCAGGGAATTTGCAGAAGTGGTCCAAGAAAGCAGACTAGAAAATGGAACTTTGGAGGGAGTTGAATCATCTTATGGGGTTAGCAATGCAGATCCCATCATGGGTCACAGAGGAAGTGTGGGATCCCCAGGGATTCGGTACTTCTGATGGCATCCATCCATAGTGAACTGAGGAAGGGAAATACAGTACTGAACAGGAATGTACTAGCAGGTGCAATACCTCAGACTTCGGAGAGATTTAGGAGATGTGGTGATTATAAGAATGATGGAATTGAATAATTAAATGTGTATGGCTCAAGGCAAAAGACAATAAAAGGCTGAGAGTGATTAACCACTAATTGAAAGCTAAGTTTAAAAGTCAGAGTCCTCTTTGGAAACATATATAGATAATTTCATATATAGGTTGGATATCCCTTACCCAAAATGGGACCAGGAGTATTTCAGGTTTGGGATTTTTTTCTTTTTCAGATTTTGGAATATTTGCATATACATGATGAGATCTCTTAGGGGAAAGGAACAAAGTCTAAACACAAAATTTATTAATATTTCATAGCTATCTGATACACATTGCCTGAAGGTAATTTATACAGGATTTTTAATAACTGTGCGTAAAACAATGTTTGTGTGTATTGTACCATCCAAAAGCAAAAGTGTCACTATCTCAGCAACCTATGTTGTATCATGTCAATGCTCTAAAATTTTCGTGTGTAGAGCATTTTAGATTTAGAATTTTCTGACTGGGGGTAATAAACTGGACTCCAAGGCAAAGAGAAAAATAGTGAAGAGGCCTAGGACATTATTTTAGGGTAATTGGCCTTCAAAGGCAGTTGAAATCTCAATTTCAGCAAGCCCACTAGGTCAAAGTCAGCATCCTAATTGAGAAGAAGGACGCTGAAATTGAGGGTCCTTCCACGTAGATAAACACATTAAAAGATTTAACACATAGATTTCAATGAACACTCTTGTCTTGCAGACATGCCCCCCTCCCTTTCCTTTCTGTGCAACAGCTAGTTCTCCCTTCTTGCTTGAGAGCAATGCAGAAGCCTTGTCTCAATGAGAATAGGAGCCTCCCGCAGGCTGTAGCTGAACCTCTCTTCCTGGAGGTCAGGCCAAGAGCAACGGTGGAGTCCTAGCATAGCTCAACTGAGAAATTGCTGGGCCTCCTGAGGGAAAAGGAGATTAAACCCCAGAGGCATTGCAAGACAGAGCCAACGTGCGCTGACAGGAATTGGGAGAGTACATATGAGGCTTCACCCTGAGGCTGCTGGATTGAGGTGGGGAAGAAGGTAAGGTTTGATATGGGAGGATCTGGCTGTACAAAGACATTCTCTGTGGTACAGAATTCTCACTGACTGCAAGGATCCTGCGAAAGAGTATGAACAGATGTCGAAACTGCCACAGGAGAGATGACTGCTGAAACTCCAGCCTGGTACCATCCTCTGAGTACACCGAGCAGCGCTTGGTCATAAATTGATGGCACTGACGTTCTTTCACTTTGCAGGGGTGTGCTGGTTGCGGTCTCTGGGAAGCAAATGCTCAGACAGATTTGAGAGTGCCACAGGATGTGTGTGTGTGTGTGTGTGTGAGAGAGAGAGAGAGAGAGAGAGAGAGAGAGAGAGAGAGAGAGAGAGAGAGACGTGAAGTAACAGGAGAAAGAGTAGGGTTGGGCAGAAAGAGTCATCAGATTGGGATGAAGGACCAGGTGCTGAGAATGCTGGCTGTTGACACAGCTGAATCTTTCCCTGGGGATTGCCATCAGCTCAACTTGCTGTCTTACTCAGCTGGGTAGTCCTAGAGACTGCTTATATAATATCAAATGCAATAAAGTAAACCCAGGACTTCCTTTTCTTCTTGGGACAACTGTGAAGTTTGATCCCATCTCCACAGCTTCTTGAAGGTATGTGCTGAGGTCTGTTTGTGACCAGATTTCAGTTCACCCTTGCTTTTTGCTGGATTCTGCTTTCTTCACTCCTTTGCAGTGTTGATCCTGAAAACACTTGCCGGTTTCGCACAGGCACACTACTCTCCATCTCAGAGAATCTGACTGTGTTAGTCCGTTTTCAAGCTGCTGATGAAGATGTATCCCAGACTGGGAAGAAAAAGAGGTTTAATGGACTTATAGCTCCACGTGGCTGGGGAGGTCTCACAATCATGGCAGAAGGCAAGGAAGAGCAAGTCACATCTTGCACGGATGGTGGCAGGAAAAAAAAAAGAGAGAGAGAGCTTGTACAGGGCAACTACCGTTTTTAAAACCATCAGGTCTTGTGAGACCCATTCACTATCACCAGGACAGCATGGGAAAGACCTGCCCCCATAATTCAATTATCTTCAATGGGGTCCCTCCCACAACAAGTGGGAATTATGGGAGTTACAAGATGGGATGTGGGTGTGGACAGAAAGCCAAACCATATCATTCCACCTCTGGCCTCTGCCAAATCTCACGTCTTCTCATTTCAAAAACAATCATGCCTTCCCAACTGTCCCCAAAAGTCTCAAATTATTTTGCCACTAACTCAAAAGTCCACAGTCTAAAGTCTCATCCAAGACAGGGCAAGTCCCTTCCACATATGAGCCCATAAAATCAAAAGCAAATTAGTTACTTCCTATATACAATGGGGGGGGCGGGTACAGGTATTGGGTAAATATACCCGTCCCAAATGGGAGAAATTGGCCAAAACAAAGGGGCTACAGGCCCCTTGCAAGTCCAAAATCAGTGGGACAGTCAAATCTTAATATTCCAGAAAGATCTCCTTGGATGCCATGTCTCACATCCAGGTCATGCTGATGCAAGAGGTGGGTTCCCATAATCTGGGGCAGCTTTGACCCGGTGGCTTTGCGGTGTATAGCCTTCCTTCCAGCTGCCTTCACAGTCGCATTGAGTGTCTGAGACATTTCCAGTTTCACAGTGCAAGCTGTCGATGGATCTATCATTCTGGGATCTGGAGGATGGTGGCCTTCTTCTCACAGCTCCACTAGGCAGTGCCCCAGTAGGGACTGTCAGGGCAGCTCCCACCCCACATTTCCCTTCTGCATTGCCCTAGCAGAGGTTCTCCATGAGGACCTCACCCCTACAGCAAATGTGTATCTGGGAATCCAGGCATTTCCATGCATCTTCTGAAATCTAGGCAGAGGTTCCCAAACCTCAGTTCTTGACTTCTTTGCACTCACAGGCTCAATACTATGTGGAAACTGCTAAGGCTTGAGGCTTGTACCCTCTGAAGCCATGGCTCAAGCTATATGTTGGCCCCTTTCAGCCACAGCTGGAGTGGGTGGGATGCAGGGCACAAAGTCCCTAGGCTGCACATAGCATGGGCACCTTGGGTCCGGCCCATAAAACTACTTTTCCCCCTAGGCCTCTGGGCCTGTGATAGGAGGGGCTGTCAATAAGGTCTCTGAAATGCCCTGGAGTCACTTTCCTCATTGTCTTGGTGATTAATATTCATCTCCTCATTACTTATACAAATTTCTCCAGCCAGCTTGGATTTCACCACAGAAAATGGGATTTTCTTTTCCGTAGCATTGTCAGGCCACAGACTTTCCACACTTTTGTGGTCTGCTTCCTTTATGAAGCTGAATGCCTTTAACAGCATCCAAGTCACATCGTGAAGGCTTTCCTGCTTGGAAAGTTCCTCCACCAGATACCCTAAATCATCTCTCTCCAGTTCAAACTTCTTCCACAAATCTCAAGGGCAGGTGCAAAATGCCACCAGTCTGTTTGCTGAAATGTAAAAAGAGTCACCTTTGCTCCAGTTTCCAACAAGTTCCTCATTTCTATCTGAGGACATGAGGACTGGACTTTATTGTTTATATTGCTATCAGCACTTTAGGCAAAGCCACTCAACAAATCTCTAGGAAGTTCCAAACTTTCCTACATTTTCCTTTCTTCTTCTGAGCCCTCCAAGCTATCCCAAACCCTGCCTATTACCGAGTTCCAAGTCAATTCCATATTTTTAGGTATATACAGCAGCTCCCACTCCTGGTACCAATTTGCTATATTAGTGTATTTTCATGCTGCTGATAAAGACATAACCTAGACTAGGAAGAAAAAGAGGTTTAATGGACCTCTTTCAGTTCCGCATGGCTGGAGAAGCCTCACAATCATGGCAAAAGGCAAGAGGAAGCAAGTCACATCTTACATGCCTGGATGGCGACAGTGACACAAAGAGAGTCTGTGCAGGGCAACTCCCATTTTTAAAGCATCAGGTCTTGTGAGACCCATTCACTGTCACGAGAACATCATGGGAAAGACCCGCCCCCATCATTTAATCGTTTTCCACTGGGTCCTCCCACAACGCATGGAAATTATGGGAGCTACAAGATGAGATTTGGGTGTGGACACAGAGCTGAACCATATCACTGACCTAGAATTTTGGTTAAGTTTACAGAATATAGCCCCAGCCTGCGTGAGTCCACATTCGGCTCTGCCATCTACTATCTACATGACTTTGAGCAAGCTATGTAACTCTGGATGTCTGATTTTCTTCATCTACTAAATGTAGATGATAACACTGACTTCACCAGATTATTAGGAAAATTAAGTGAGATATAAGTTGGAAGATGGAACAGTGTTTGCCACACACTAAGCAAGATACAATGGTCTTCTGTTGTTCTTGTTCTTCTTCTTATTATTATGACTGCAATGTATATTTGTTAAGAATGAAACTATGTAGTCAGACTGGTTTTGACTACAAGTTCTGCTACTTATGAGCTTCAAGGCCTTGACTTCACCTAGACACATTGTGTCATAATTTCCTCCAACATAAACTGGTAATGATTACAGTGCTTACAGGGTAGAGGTGTTATGGTGACAATTCATTGAGGAGGATTTTTTGTTTTAGTGAAATAAATAACTTGACTAATTACATAACTCATACTAAGTTCTCAATGAATGATGGCTATGACTAGAAAAACAGTAGAAATAACATACGTTGAGCAGTTACTAAATGTCAGACAGTATATATCTCATTTAATTTTTATAACATCCTTATTTGAAATAACTTTGCATCCCAAAGCCTCTCAGGTGCATACATGGGACTGAAGCCCAGGCAGCTTTAAACCGCAGTTACATTATTGATGCAATATCCTGCTTCAAGGAAGTCTTCTTAGAAAGATACCCACTTTCCCTTTTACCAACTCCCACTTCACATACTGGGTTAGTTTTTTCCTATCTTCCTGCTGCTTCCATAAACCCTTACATAGCACATACCATGAAGCGTCTCTCTCTTCATTTCCATGAGCACTTCATCCTGTTGTCTCTTCAAAGGCAGGTGTTCTTTCATATTTACCCTTGGATCCCCAGTTCTGGGCCTAGCACCTGGTATAAAGTAAACATTCAATAATTTGTGTTGATTCACGATGAAGTCAATGGAACTGCATTTTTGCACCCAGATGTAAACCTAATTTTTGCTTTGTGCAGTTTTGGGTTCACTTTAGAGCATTGTGTTGAGCTGTCCCCCTTGTGAGAGGGTCATTCATCGTGGCACCCTTCCATTATTAAGATTTGCCACATGGGGGCCGGGCATGGTGGCTCTTGCCTGTAATCTCAGCACTTCGGGAGGCCAAAGCCGGTGAATCACTTGACGTCAGGAGTCTGAGACCAGCCTCGCCAAAATGGTAAAACCTCATTTCTATGAAAAATATAAAAATTAGTCAGGTATGGTGGCGGGTGCCTGTAATCCCAACTCCTCAGGAGGTTGAGGCAGAAGAATCACTTGAACCCAGGAGGCAGAGATTGCAGTGAGCTGAGATTCTGCCACTGCACTCCAGCCTGGGTGATACAGTGAGACTCATTCTCAAGAAGAAAAAAAAAAGATTTGCCACATGGGTTTTGAGAGACTGTGTCACTGTCAAGGCCCTCCTGGAATACACCCCATCACAAAAACTTATCCTTTGAACTCTCTGAAGATAGACTTTCCTCAATACAACATCCAGAGGGTTTCCATAGTGATTGCTGACACTTAAAAGGTGCCAGAATGTCCCCCTTCTACATCTGACTTTCTCCCTCTCTGCATGTCATTCAGGTGACATGAAGCAGGTGGAATGAGCCTCAGGTCATCTTACCAAATGTTTCACAGCTGACAGAAGCAGGTGTATCTATTAAATAAATTACTCAAGCTGCATAGAGGCTGGCACTTAATCTCTCTGAAACCCCAGAGACAGGCTTGTTTTCATCAGCTCTACAATCCCTGTGGAATCCCTGAGCTCAATAAATGGGCTCATGTCCAGGGGAGTGGCACACAGGTGGTATTTCATAAATATTTATAAATATCCAGTGTACATACAGATAGCCAATGGGTGTCCAAATATATGATTTCATTCAGCCAGAATCAGCAAAGATGCTTACTGAACACACACAAAGCACGGACATATGAGTAACACCAGAAACACCATTGGATGAACTTCTAAGGCTATTCATAGACACATAAGTGATACTATCTTAGACAATTAAAATTTTTGTTTTCTATTTACTACTTTTTTAGCTCCTTTAGGATACATTCTACATACAATTAAATAATTTTACTTTAAATGCAAAGTATAACAACATGAAATATAACATTGCTTTCTTGTATTCACAAGATTGAGATTTTAAGTTACGTGTTTCTCTGATAACCAGTTGGAGATGTAAAGTGATTGATAATACCTATTTTTGAAAAATTTTAATGTTTTGTTCTACAATTTTACATCAAGAATATAAGATACCCACATTATTTATAATATCAAACACTAAGGACCCTCCAAGCCAAATGCTTTGTTATAACAACTTATTATTGCTTATGTGTCTATGGATAGTCTAAGCAGTTTGTCCAATGTTGTCTGGTCTCACTCATGGGTTCGCTCTGTTAGGTTACATGTGCATCTTTATTAATTCTGTCTGGGTGGAGTCATCTATTTGTACACCGGCTAGTTACAAGCTGGTCTGTGATAACCTTGATTATTCTTGTCACCTTCCACAGGTCCCTAGGCTTGTTCTCAATCAGTGGTTTGGGTCCACAAGAGAGGAAGCATGAGAGGAAGTAGACATGCACAAGCACGTTTTCAGGTTTGCTATAAGTCATGAGACCAAGTCCAAATTCAGTGAGGTAGATGCTATCAAAGGACATGAGCACAAAAAGAGGTTCGCGCACTTAACCGTGGTTCTGAAACAATATGGTTTTTCATACAAATGCATCATGTCCCAAAATCTTTGTATGCTACCGAGTACTTGAAGTTTGTTGAAACTTGCTTTGTTTAGAATGCGGTAAGATTTTTTTTTGTTTTGTTTTAAATTTCATGTGTACTTGAGAATACTTTGTTTTTAATCTCAGATGGTTAAGTGAGGGTTCTATGGTCAGCCTCTGTTAGTATGTGATTCCAATTTTATTAATCTTCATTATCTTTTTTGTTTGCTTGAGACAGTAATAATTGAGAGATACCATCTCACACCAGTTAGAAAGGCAATTATTAAAAAGTCAAGAAACAGCAGATGCTGGCAAGGTTGTAGAGAAATAGGAATACTTTTACACTGTTGGTGGGAGTGTAAATGAATTCAACCATTGTGAAAGACAGCGTGATGAATCCTCACACATCTAGAACCAGAAATACCATTTGACCCAGCAATCTCATTACTGGGTATAAACCCAAAGGAATGGAAATCATTACATTACAAGATATATCCATGTGTATGTTCACTGCAGCACGACTCACCATAGCAAAGAAATGGAATCAACCCAAAGGCCTATCAAGAATAGACTGGATAAAGAAAATGTGGGACACATACACCATGAAATTCTATGTAGGACATGATCTCTATTTTACATGACATTTAAAAACTAAGCCTGCCACATTTTAGTTATTATCTTTCTGACAAACCTTTTTCCATATTTCTATTTTTTTAATTTTTATTTTTGAGACTGACTCTGGCTCTGTCACCCAGGCTAAAGTGCAGTGGTGCAATCACAGCTCACTACAACCTCCGCCTTCTGGGTTCAAGGGATTCTCCTGCCTCAGCTTCCCGAGTAGCTGGGACTACAGGTGTGTGCCACTGCGCGTCTGGCTAATTTTTGTATTTTTCAGTAGAGATAGAGTTTTGTCATGTTGACCAGACTGGTCTCAAACTCCTGAACTCAGGTGATCAGCCCATGTTGGCCTCCCAAAGTGCTGGGTTACAGGCCTGAGCCACCACACCTGGTCATCTTTTTTCATATTTTTAAGTTTAATATGTCTGGGTTGGATCTCTTACAAACAGAACATAGATGTGGTTGTTTAAAAATCTAATTTTAATGTATATTTTTTAATTTAATTTTATTTATTTTTATTTTTAATTTTTTTACTTTAGATACATACTATATCTGGCATTTCTCCCCGTGTTTTCCCTCCCCACCATCCCCACACCCTCCTCTCTCTCCCTAATAAATGGTTTGGTCAGTTTATATTATTTAGAATATTGAACTTATATTGGAAATTTTTAATTTATTATCATCTTCCACTTTTTGTTAAGTTTCATCTGCCCCCTCACCTTCACTTTCCTTTTCTCGAATGAATTACTTTAACTCTATTGTTTTTCAGTTTTGTTTATCTCACTTTATTCTACTGGACTTCATGTCATGTTGGATTTTTACACTGGGTAATTTACCTTGCTTACTCACTCTGCCTAACAAGATAGGATTTTATTACTCTTATGATTTACAAATGATATTTCTTCAACGGTTTTGTTTTGACTTATTTTATAAACCACAGAGTTAACAACATTATGATTATGATTATTTTGTTCAGGCACTTTCTGTTTGCATTTACTCATGTTTATATATCTTTTGTGATTGTTTATCATCACTTTTTAGATCTTCCTTCTGTAGTGGTTTCATTTTTCCAAAATAAACAGCTATTATAAAAAATAAATAAATAAATAAATCTGAACTAAATACTCCACTATTTTCTGAAATAAATAAATAACTCTATTCTGATTTTTGTTTGTGTATTTGAAAGTGTGTTTATCCTTGAGATTGAGTTTTGTGAATACCCAATCCTTCGTTGGTAGTTATTTTATCTTAGTTATTTGAAGATATTATATTTCATATTTTTTTCTTTTTTTTTTGCTTTTGGAACATTACTATTGTCTAACAATCATTCTTTAATAAATGGTACGACTTTTCTCTCTGGCTACTTGTAAGGGTGTCATTCTGTTTTTGGTATTCAGCTAACTGAAGACAATGTGTCCAGGGTTGGATTTCTTTTTATTTAGCTTACTTTTCATGCCTTGTGTTTCTTATATTTGTGACTCATGTTTCTCACAGGTTTTAACAATGATCAGAAACCATAACTTTAAATAATTCATACTTTCTGTTCTTCCTGCTTCTAGGATGCAAATAGATATAAACTTAGATATTCATATTCTCCTCTCAATGTCCTTTAATCTGTTTATATTTCCCATCTCCTCAAATCAGTAAGCATCCTGAGTGCTTCTTTGGGTCTGTGTTGTGCATACTAGCTCTATCTTCTGTGTTTAACCCATTTCTAAGCCTCCCTCCACTGTGTATGCTGGGTTGACTCACTCATTTCACATTCAAGCTACTTTCTGGGTAGAAACCTTAAAGTAGGAAATAACTATATTTCAAAGATGCTATTAAAACTAGGGTCCTAGATGTTTTTGCATGAGATTTGAAATGTAGAATTGAGGTGGTTGCTGCTGCAGACTAGGAGGGTCTCAGGAATGTAAGGATCACCTGTGACATGGCATAATCCCCTCTCCAGTTCCCTGGGTGCTGACATGCAATGGCAATGGTGGTGACAGTGGATCTGTCTTCCTGATCTGCCACCCTCATCCTTAGGTCAGAGCTTTCTCCATTTCTGACTTCCTGAAAATGAGCAGCATGTATCATGGTGGCCCTGGAAATAATTTATTAATTCTGGCTTAGCACTAATGGTGGTCAGTCAGTGCTGGTGGTTTGAGAGCCATTTCAGGAAACAAAATGATTCAAAAATCAACCCATTTCCTTAAATTAAATCTTCCCTGCTTGCTTCTAAAATTGTTGGTTTCTATCTCGTGTACATAACCCTGGCTGATATACTATTTGCTGTCTGTTGAATTTGGACAATTATATTACTATTCCTCAAAGTTACAATTATTTATTTTAAAATGAATATCCTGGCTGCTTGGATAATGGATTCCTGTGGTCACAATGCTGTAACAGTGTCACCAATCAAATAGAAATTTATTGCCTCACAGTTTTTGAGATGAGGATGGCAAGTTCTAGGTGTTGTCAGAGTTGGTCTCTTCTGAGGCTATGAGGGAACACCTGATTTATGCCTCTCTTCCTACCTTCTAGTGGTTTTCTGGTCATCTTTGGGGCCTCTTCCCCTGCATATGCATCACCCCAGTCTCTGCCTTCATGTTCACACAGTGTTCTTGGTGTATGTGTATCTATTTCTAAATTCCTGCTTTTTGTAACAGCAGTCAACTTGGATTAATTGCTGTATATTAGTCTAGGTTTTCCAAAGACTCAGAACCAATAGAACGTGTGTGTGTGTGTGTGTGTGTACACATGCATGTGCATGTGCACATGTATTTATATGTGTGTATAATTGCCACAGATGGGTATGAGGCTGAGACTCCCCAAGACCTGCAGTTGGCAAGCCGGAGACCCCACAGAGCTAACAGTACAGTTTTAGCCTAGAACAAAGGCCTTAGGACCAGGAGATCTAATAGTGTAAGTTTCTACTCTGAGTCCTAAGGCAGAAGACCAGTGTCCCAGCTCAAAGACAGCCATGCAAAGGGAACATATTCTTCCTGATTCTACTCAGATCTTCAACAACAGATTGGATGAGGCCCACCCTCACTGAAGAGGACAATCTGCTTTGCTTAGTCTACTAATTCAAATGTTAATCTCACCAGGAAACACCCAGGATAATGTTTAATTAAATATCTGGGCACCCTGTAGCCCAGTCAAATTGACACATCAAATTAACCGTCACAGCCTCACATTATTTCAGTATTATCTCATCTTAACTCATTACAATGACCCTATTTCCAAAGAGAGTCACATGCTAATGTACTGGGGGTTATGACTTCTGGATATGAAATTTTCTGAGGAGGAATACAGTCAGCTCATGAGACATATTGACTTATTCCTTGCCAGTTTTTAATAATCGTTTATTTCTTCAAAGATCTCGTAAGATATTTTGCATACTGTGTCTGTTATTTCCAGTATCTGAAATAATTGGGTGGGTACAGCGAGTAGAGTGTTTTTACGTTGCTTTTATTTCTGCTGACAGTTTTCTTGCATATTTTATATTTTTTGGTTATAAAATTGTACTTTTAAGAATTTAATCTGTAGAAGTTCCAAGGGGCTGCATCTGGGACCTTTTGCTCCAGATAGGATTTACATTTGCTTTTATTGGGACCTATTTTCTGGAAGCTTCTAAGGACCACTTTAATCTCATCCATGAGTCTGCATGAAATGCCACAGTCAGCCTCAATGCTCTCTTCCATTGCAGGTTACAGGCACAATTCCACTCAAGCATCTGTTTTTTCCAGATTCTCAGAGGTCCAGCCTTTCTTATGTGATGATAGGTTGGAGTAATGGGTGAATTATTGTATGATTTTTCTCCTGACTGTGGCCTTCTGTTTGAAGCTTCAAAAATAACTCTTAGCAAACATTTTCTTGTTCTCCCATCGTACACATTTTCCTTTGGATATTCTATATCCTTTGTTGGAAGTGAAATTAGAGGTCAGGCACCAATAATAGCTTCTGAGACATCTCCATCATTTTTTTTTCTTTTTTCTTTTTTCCCATTTTTAGAAAACCATCTGTATCTTCAGACCTCATTCTTCAAATACAGAACATTTGAGATGTGCTCTCAAGGCTCTCTCAAACAGTGGAGTGTAACATACTTTAGTAAGGTGGTTTTACACCTACTTATTTATTCCTTAATTGAATAATTATTGGTTGAGTTACATATCACCCTGAACTCCTCTTTCAAATTGAAGCAAATTGGATTTTTATTCAAGCCTGTAATCCCAGCACTTTGGGAGGCCGAGGTGGGTGGATCATGAGGTCAAGAGATTGAGACCATCCTGGTCAACATGGTGAAACCCCATCTCTACTAAAAATATAAAAAATTAGCTGGACATGGTGGCACATGCCTGTAATTCCAGCTACTCAAGAGGCTGAGGCAGGAGAATTGCCTGAACCCAGGAGGCAGAGGTTGTGGTGAGCTGAGATCATGCCATTGCACTCCAGCCTGGGTAACAAGAGCAAAACTCCTTCTCAAAAAAAAAATAAATAAATAAATAAAATAAAATCATTCCTGACTTTTGAAGCTTATATTGTGGTATTTGTATTATAATACAGATGCTTTCTTGCATAATTTTATTTCCTTTTTATTTCAACAAGTTGGTTGGAAACATGATTGTGCCTAAGAAAAGGCTGACGGCTATTGAAATTACCCCAAAGAGAAACTTATATTGTAATGAAAGCAATACCAGGGAGAGAGAATGGAGGAGGAAATCAGAAGGTGATGAGAAATGTTTGCTGATCCTTGTACAAAAATAACTCCAAAAAGTTATCTCTTTTACAAAATTTATTTGGACGAATTCTAGAAAACAAATGTGTATAAAGTGCACACATCTTGTTGCTTCTCAGAGTACTAGATGCAGAACATCATCGGTTACGCCAATATGTGTAGAGCTAATGAAAATAATAATGTTTACACCTTCTTGGAAGTCCACCATTTCCAGGAAAGAACTAATCATTTGATATTGACTCCTAATACGGTTCTATGAATCAAGTAATTGCCACCAGTAATGTGAAGGCCGTGATCACTGGGTTTAGGGAGTCAGGAGTTCTGTAGGGGTCATTGCCTAGGCGAAAGACGACATCAATGTCATACGCTCGCTGATGGATGCCTTAAATTCCAGCATTTTTAAAGATAATCATGAATTTCATTTGTTACAAATTGTCATTCCAACCCAGATAGACAACATACAGAATTTGGAGAAAGAATAAGGACTATAAATACCTAGACTCCACTCTCACTAAAAATTCTAAGTGATCACTTAACCAAGCTCTAAGTTTCTATAAGTTAATTCTATCCTGAATCTCTTAACCTGAATGTAGAGTATCCTAGCTCCTACAGCCGTATAAATCAGAGGCTTAAGAAATTAAAGGTGCTTTTACTTACCTCCTTACTATATAGTAAGGACAAGGCTAGAATTAGGACATAAAGCTATGTTTCTCTAAAATCAACTGAATAACAAGGTGCTCCTTGCAGTAAATGTGTTTTGCTCCTTCTAGTGGAAACACAGAAGAAAGATAAGTAAATTGGGTCCTGAGAGCATGACTGTAAAAATACCTGTTTCATTTTACAGCCTCCCAAAACCTCTGCCTTAAACCTAGGTCACTCCACTTCTCTTTCCATCTGTGATAGCTCATTATATTTGGTCTATTCATATAATTTTCATTTGTTAGAACAAGGTACAGCTGGGTCAGAAAAGAAATATTTTGAGAAAATAGCTTGGCTATAAATCCATTGGCTTCACAGTAATTAATTTGAACAAACTCCAAAAATATGCTTTAATAACTTTTCAGATCCCAATTAAGGCCAAATAAATGGCTTCCATTTATGGCAGAACCAATCTGATTAGGTTTCTTGTTTGGTATGCTACAAGCATGCAGAATATCCATCCTAAGGGCACCAAGCAAAACTCAAAACTTCGGATTTATTTAATCACACACAAATGCATATTTATAAAATGCAACAGACTTTTCTAATTAATTTTTCATCATGCTAATGATTTTGCTTTGTAACAACTGGTTATATTAGGAGGAGTCACAGCCAGATCTAGAGGCATTTGCAGTCACTGTTAGTTTGGAAAGAAATGAAAGAAAATAATTTTTTTAAAAGCAACTTTCCAGGATATGGCTCTTGAGAGGTAATTACTGATTCTACCAAATCCCTATGGAAAAATCCAATTTTAACCATTATTTAGTAAGACCCACTATATTTCCCTTTTTGCAGCCAGATTTATATGTAACAACATGTTTTCTACTAAAGAAAATGATTTTCCCCCAGTCTCTGTCAATGTAGTACACGGAAGACTATCAAATAGCTTCAGATTTTGAGAAGGAAAAGCAATGATGATAGATGATCGGGAAAGTATATGGTCCCATGAAACACGAGACAAAATCACTGGACTGTCAGGGAAAATACTGGAGTCCTTGGACACTCTGTTTCTTACCAGGAGTAATTTTGAGTTGGCCAAAGGAATGTCTATAAGTTAAAAATAAATAAATAAATAAATAAATAAATAAATAAATAAATAAATGAATGGTGCAGTTTGAATGAGAGAAGAGAAAGAAAATAAATTTTGGAAAAAGGAAATGAAAAAGAAAAATTGGAAGAGGTGATGAATGGCTGTTAAGAAGAGTTAGGCAGAATACAATAGTGTTAGACTGAATCTCTGCTGGAGAAGAGACAGTAGAGACGTGAAGGGGGTAGGTAGCGCCAATTCTGGGTGTCCCAGTAGAATCTGCTAGAATGGAGTCATAATTTTGTATAAGAATGGGAGCTTCCAGAAGCTCCTGAAAGGCCCTACATTTATATTTTGTTGAGTTACAGAGGTAAGTAAATGGTAGCCAAACTACTTCTAATTCAAAATCTCCACATCTTCATGTATCAATAGCTCAGACAAAGCAAGGTCAGGAGCTCACAGAAGGGATATTAAATTCTCTTACCATGATTTCTGAGACTTGATGTTGGGTTTTCTACTAAAATCACTTGTAGTCTCTGCTGTCCTAGAAGATAGGGAAATACTGTCCAACAGGGGAAAAAAAAAATAAAAAAAAAATCAGCCTAGTTGATGAAAGTCAAAAATTTTAGGTTGAAGTTGTATTTTCAAAAGTTTTTTTTTTTTTAACCAAATGCTAGCCCCTGGGAAGAATCTTGACAATCAGAAAGTTCAAAACTGTTTCTCGAGAGGGTGTTGCAGAGGATAATTTGAAAATTTAAATTCAATAAATCACACTTAAAAATGGATACAAATGATTCACAAAACTATTTGTTTATTTGGACCCAGTCTGATCAATGGAATTTTAAATTAAGGTTTGCTGTAACCAAAAAAGCATCATTTTATTTATAGAGAAGAGAACTTCATTGGTGCTAAACGTGGAGCAGCAGTTGCCAAATGCCATTTACCTTGACTTGTCATGAAGCCTACAATTGCCCTACTGAAGAAGCAGGGAAACGCTGGATTCCCAAATCAGCACCCAACCTGATGCCAGTTATAAAAGTTTAATTGTTATGTGTCAAATTAAAAGACCCATCTGGGGAAAAGGTTCATTTCCCTTCCCAAGATGCATCTCACCATTAAATTTCACTGTTTAAATGTATTTTCTCTGAGTTCCATTTTGCTTGGTCAGATCAATGCATTTTACCTCACATCCATTGTCCGCAGTTACAATCTGGTGATTACTAGGATGGCTGAGGGTAAGCTGCCTGCTCGTTTATTTATTTATTTATTTATTTTTCAAATTTATTTTTACTGCTTTGGGTTTTACCCTACTCAGCATTCCTGGATCGTGCAATCTTAAAAGGATTATAAGTTATTCCGAGCCAACTGAATGTAAAACACACCCACCAGATATCAAGGAGGTGTGGGATTAGGAAAGGAAGACCCGGGCAGGGTAACTGACGATCAGTTCCCTGAGACCCCATCCTGTCCACTCAGACCTACTCTTTGATTCACAGTTGAGAAGACATGTCTCTTACAAGCTGTTTTAAATTTTAGTCTAAATTTTTAAGCATTTAATATGTGTCCTCTTGGAGCCCCTAGTAGATAGCAGACACCATTGATTATCAAGTGCTATTCACCACGGTTTTTGGGGTGGGTTGTAAATATCATCTTCCCTTAGTAGATGAGCAAGTGAAAACTCAGAGTTAAGCAACGTATTCAAGGTCATTCATCTGATGTATGAAATGCTGTTGAAAACGATAATTTTGGAAAATAATTCTATTTAATTCTATCAGCATATTCTGGACTGGTTCTCTACGTGTACACACCATCTACCAGGTGATTCCCAGAACTAGTCTTCTTCTAGAAGCTTCACTTTGCTGATCAGCCTCTGTACCTTCTTGATCCCACTGTAACCTGCCTCTCAGCGTTGGATTCTCTGCCACAAAATTTCAAGGGAACTCTGTTTGCTTCTTTTGCACATTACAGGGCTTACAGGGAGCAGGTCTCCTCCCCCACTCCCATCGCTGCTCCCTAATGACTTTAATTTCTTCCTCTTTCAAACAATCAAACAAAAACAAACAAACAAACAACCAAAAAAGACACTCTTTAGAAGAGATAGTAATGATATCCACCTCATGAATTAAATTACTTGGTGTGAGTTAAGTACATACCAGGGATTACCACATCATTAGCTATTATGAGTAGTCTTGCAGTTATTATTATCAAATATATCTCACAATTAATGCAACCTGTTAGTCTGGTCACATCAAAAGTGCCACAGTGCTTTTTGGAAAATGAACAAAACAATTGCTTAAATGTGCATCATACATTCAGAGTAATTCTTACTCAAGCAAGCTGGTTTTATATTCATGACAAGCATTTTCAATTTTAATATGTTTGCTTACATGAGACGCAGATTGTAATTTAATGGCAGCCTGTTTAATTATGCCTTCATTTGTTTAAACTGTAATGTTGCTGCTGAATAAATGAAATAAAAATCTCTTTAATTTCCTTCTCAATATTTAATTTAAATCAATGATAAACAGCGGCTGTCTCTTTGAAACAATGTTAATTAATATTCCGAAGGCTAAATTCATTTTTGGATGTATGGTATGTTTGGCATGTTGGTTTCATAATTAAACTGAAAATAAGATTGATAGAGTTAAATAACCTCTAAAGAGAGGGGAAAGAACACTATACAATTCTACTCAATATATTTCTGGCAATGGAAAAATGTACAATATGGGCTTTATATTTTTAAACTGCTCATATAATTGCTATTCAATCTATAACTCGGGGTTTAGGTTTAGAAATTTTTAGAGTTATACCACCTAATTATTTAAATTCTTGAAGCGTTCATTTTTCTTTCACATTGATCCGGCCCATTTGCACATCCTATTAAAGAATTACTAAGGTGAAGAGAGGAGTGAGGACAATAATTTTGCTAAAGCTCTCTACCAGGTACTATACCTAATGCCAGGAATGTAAGGATAAATAAAACAAGACTGTGGCCCTCGGGGAATTCTAAATGTGCAGGTCCAGAAGAAATAGACAGTTTTAATACTTACAAGACAGTAAGTGCCTTCCTAGAGGATAATGCAAAGTTACAGGCATGAGGGAAACATGGGCAGGATTGACATTGTCAGGGTTAGTGTCATCAGTGCCATCAAAGTCATCCTCTTCCTTGCCAACATTCCTATGTGCCACTATGTGGCAGACAATGTTATAGATCATTAAACTTACATTATCGGCCGGGCACGGTGGCTCAAGCCTGTAATCCCAGCACTTTGGGAGGCCGAGGCGGGTGGATCATGAGGTCAAGAGATGGAGACCATCCTGGTCACCATTGTGAAACCCTGTCTCTACTAAAAATACAAAAAATTAGCTGGGCATGGTGGCGCTTGCCTGTAATCCCAGCTACTCAGGAGGCTGAGGCAGGAGAATTGCCTGAACCCAGGAGGCGGAGGTTGCGGTGAGCCGAAATGGCGCCATTGCACTTTAGCCTGGGTAACAAGAGCGAAACTCCGTCTCAAAAAAACAAAACTTACATTATCCCGGTATTTAAACCATGGCCCAGCCATTCAATAATTTATATTAGAAGACAGAGCTAGTGGGCAGCAAACACAGAAGACAAATCTGGACACTGTGGCCTCAAGTTCATCTGATCAGTTCGTTATACCACATGGGAATGATGAGATGGACAGGACAGCTAAGCCTCTGGATTTGAAGTGGCCTTAGATTATAGGAGCTTGTCTCCAAGCTTCAGACTGGTAAAGACAACTGGACAGGCTAACACAGGAACCAAAGGCAGTAAGTACCAGCATGGTTCAGACGTTACCAGTACCATGGTGTTTTAATCCATGGGCAGCCAGGGAAATGAGGGAGATGAGGAATCACTCTGATATGAAGCCGTGCAATTTGAAGACACCAAAGGCCATCAGGCACCGGAAGAATCTGACCAATATGAGAGTAAACCTCACTGAGCGGGAAGGCATCAAAGCCTCATTTAACAGGAGATGGGAGAGATCAGAGCCCCACTTGGGGGATGGAGATAAAAGGGAGCAGAGCTCTAGCTTGGGAGGGGAGAGGGAAGGGATCAGAGCCCCACCGGTGCAGGGATCAGAGGCCCACCTGAAAGGGAGAGGGAAGGGATCAGCACCACCTGGGGTGGAAGAAGAACAGGATCAGAGCCCCACCTGCAGCGGGGAGAGGGAAGGGATGGGGAGAGGTAAAAAATAAGAGCCCCAGGCCAGGCGCGGTGGCTCAAGCCTGTAATCCCAGCACTTTGGGAGGCCGAGGCGGGTGGATCACAAGGTCAAGAGATCGAGACCATCCTGGTCAACATGGTGAAACCCTGTCTCTACTAAAAAATATACAAAAAATTAGCTGGGCATAGTGGTGCGTGCCTGTAATCCCAGCTACTCAGGAGGCTGAGGCAGGAGAATTGCCTGAACCCAGGAGGCGGAGGTTTCGGTGAGCTGAGATTGCGCCATTGCACTCCAGCCTGGGTAACAAGCGTGAAACTCCGTCTCAAAAAAAAAAAAAAAAAAATCAGAGCCCTACCTGGTCGGGGTCTGGGGGTTGGAGCTGGTACCTCCCCAGTCACTGTGGGGGTGGTTGAGTCCTCAAAGAAGTCCTCAGCAGGGGATTGGTTCAAGCAATATTGATGGTGATTAAAGCAAACCTAGCCCACAGGTAGGTGTTCAGTTATCACCCAGTGCATTAAATCAGGTTCTTGTCAGCTGAAGAGACTTAAGTGGGTGTATGTGACCCAGCACCTGTGGTTCAAGCATTCTCAGCATCAGAGACTGTGATTGTGACTTTAAGTCAGAGAATTCCAAGGCCATCTCAGAAGTGAGGTGAGGCTCTTCTATAACTAAGTACCAGGCCATGCCTCTTGCAGTGATTTCAGCTCCAGAGCAGGTTATACCCCCAGGAGAATGGCTCTGCCACAGGGCCTTGGAAACCTTGCACAAACTCTCATGGGCAACAGCTTGAATTGCAATGAATCTAATACTGAGGAACACCATGTGGTCCCCCAGGATAGGAGGAGGAAGGAGGCTTGTAAGGAGGTCACGAGGCCATCTCCACTCCCCTTCCTCTCTCCCCAAGAGGCTACCATGAACCTCTCTCATCTTCTCCCAGGTCTTTGCAAAGTATAGGGTAGAACAGAGTTGTAGCCACAGCTCAGAATTGTCCCCTTAGAAATGGGGTGCACATCTTCCTAGTGCTGCTGAACAAATTACTATAAATTTGGTGAGACAAGATAAATTTATTCTTCTAACATTGTGGAGGCCAATATTCCTAAAGTAAATGGATAGAATTTAATGTAGCGCATTTCATTCCATTCATAAGCTATACCTTGCCCTAACATTGCCTAGCCTATGGCTCAGCATAGTGAGTATGTAGTCCTGGTTTTGTTCTCAGCATTGTTTCTTAGAATATTACTCACTCTCATAGCTTATTTTTATTTTAGCTGCAGCTTTTTACAGTTGAGCTAAAGCTTAGCTTTATTGAAGTAAGAATCTTAAACACACTTTACTCCAGGTTTTATTAATTTGGGTTAATTGCATGACATTGGTAGCTGGTATGAAATTTACCAGCCCTAAGGAAAATTAGCATAATTTGCCTAGAATTAGTTGTCATGGCTACCATCACTCTGAAGGCTCTTAAGGAGTTTCTCTCTTGCCTCTTCCAGCTTCTGTTGGGTCTGGTATTTTTTGGCTGGTGCAAGCATCACTCCAGTATCTGTCTCTCTCTTCACGTGGCCTCTCTGTCTGTCTTTATTTCCTTTTTTTCTTTTGAGATGAAGTCTTGCTCTGTCACCCAGGCTTGAATGCAGTGGTGTGACCTTGGCTCACTGTCACCTCTGCCTCCTGGGTTCAAGGGATTCTCCTCTCTCAGCCTCCCAGTAGCTGGGACTACAGGTGTGAGCCACTACTCCTGGCTAATTTTTGTATTTTTAGTAGAGGTGGTATTTGACCATGTTGGCCATGTTGGTCTCAGACTCCTGACCTCAAGTGATCTGCCTGCCTTGGCCTCTGAAAGTTCTAGAATTATAGGCATGAGCCACGTCGCCCAGGCTTTCTCTTTTCACAAGGACACTGATCATGGGAATTAGGGTCTGCCTGAAATCTGTAATGATACAACTTCAAGGTCCTCTTTGCTAATTACATCAACAAAAATCCAACTTCCAAGTAAGGTCACATTTTCAGATTCTGGATAGACATGACTTTTGAAAGATACTATTCTGCTGACTACGCTGGGTATCCCGTAACCTGGACTGCAGTCAGGTTTTCCCAGTCGTTTTGGTGTCCTTTACGATGTAAAGCATGGATGATGTGGGGCTGGCACCTTTGCTCGGATTTTCTCTCACCATGTAGGTGATAAGTCATCCAGTCTATGAGTGCCTAGATGCCTGTTCACCGCCCATTCCAGGTGCGTCCTGCCCTCGCCCTTACCTTGCCTTGTGTGTGCGCTTGACAGTCCTCCATTCTGAAGCAAAAACTCGAAGCCAATCAACTCCCCTCCCTTCCTCCAGCACCTTGTCTCCAATTATCACTTTATCCTGCTGGTTCTGTCACTTTTCCCGCTCTTGAATGGTGCCCCTGCTCTTCATCTCCTCTGCTCTCTCATCTTCTTCCATCATTTCCTGCTAAGATTCCTGCTGCTGTTTCCTAGCTGCTTTTTTCTGCCTCCTATCTTACACCATTCTAACGCATCCTGTAAGCTGCTGCTAGACTGATCCTCCAGTGTTTTTAAAAAGTACAGCTGCATTCCTGGTTTTAAAACTTGTAACGACATTTCATTGCTTTCAGATTAAGACTGGATTACTTAGGGCACAAGTAGTCACAGACCCCTGTGGGAGCCAGTGCCTGCCATGGACCATGGCAGCATCCCCTCCACACCCACAACAGACCCTTTGCCTGAGGTCCAGCTGGCCCATAGAAGTGTTTATTTGATGTATGCAGTCAGCCAGCATAGCAGTTGATTTTTTTGTGTGACTCATATCCATTTTGCATGTTTTTACATCTCCACAGAGTGCTGACAGTCACATCTCCCTGACAAGATTTTGTGAGCATTCAATTGTAATAATGTGTTGGGCAGATAGAAGGCACTCAAACAATGTTGCTTTCTTTCTTGTCACTATATCAGACCTGGCCATATATCTTGACCATAACTGATGTTTATTATGTTTATAGATCAGTCATTGAAGCAGTCGATACTTCCCTATCTTTCTGGAAGCAATCACCATAAATTAGCTTCGTAATTCTCAAAATAGCTAAATGTCAAAAATAAGTTTATTCTCTTTCTTTCTCCTATAATTAACCCTTAACTTCTTCTTCTTTTTGAGACAGAGTCTTGCTCTACCTCTCAGACTGGAGTGCAATGGCATGATCTCGGCTCGCTGCAACCTTTGCCTTCCAGGTTCAAGCAATTCTTCTGCTTCAGCCTCCAGAGTAGCTGGGACTATAGGTGCCTGCCACCATGCCTGGCTAATTTTTGCATTTTTTTTTTAGTAGAAACGGGGTTTCACCATACTGGCCAGGCTGGTCTCGAACTTCTGACCTCATGATCCGCCCATCTACGCCTTCTAAAGTGCTGGGATTATAGGTGTGAGCCACCATGCCTGGCCCCCTTAACTTCCTTCTATTGGAGAGCACCTTTCTCCATTTTTTCTCCTCCTTGGAGTATGAGATACACTGCTGCATTTCCCAGAGTGGCCTCCTTATGTGTGGCCTTGGAATAGGAGGTGATTCTTTACATACCTCCAGATCCTTTTTCTTCCCAACAATCCCAGAGCCCTCCATTTCCAGGCTGTGGCCCAGGAACAGCATCTACACCCAGAAACCCAACCTGTTCCCTAAATCTCCTCCCTTTCTGAAAGCCAAGGTGGAAGAGAGAAGCCTGGTAGGAGACGACTGGATCACGGGGATGGATCTTTTGTGAACGGTTTAGCACCATCCCCTTGTTTCTGTCCCTGCAACAGTGACTTACGGCAAGATCTGATTGTTCAAAAGTGTGGGCACCTCTTCCCTCTCTCTCTCTTGCTTCTGCTTTTATCATATGATGTGCCTGGTTCCAAGTTGCCCTCAGCCGTGACTGTAAGCTCCCTGAATCCTGCCCAGAAGCAGATGCTTCTGTGCTTCCCGTACAGCCTGCAGAACTGTGAAATGATTAAACCTCTTTTCTTATAAATCACCCAGTCTTCGGTATTTTTTACAGCAATGCAAGAACGATCTCATACGGAATTTCTGGAAGTATGTCACAGAGCCGATTGAAACAACAGCAAGAATTAGGTTTGTATGAAGAGCCAGAACCCTTTCAGTGTTTAGGAAACTGAGAACATAGCCAAGGTTCAAAGCCAGTAGTGGTCTAGTCAGAACATTGCTGCCAAGGAACTTTGCCACTGTGTCATGGGTTATCACTTACTCTCTCTTCTATTTGTCTCATCCTTTCCAAATTAAAGTTAGAGAAGGAACCTAGGTCATATATCTGGACCATAGCTTCTGGCAGACAGAGAAGAAACATCTGGTGTTTCATGGTGGAATCCCTGCCACCCACTAGGACTCAGACCCTGATAAAGAATTTCCATGCTGGGCATAAAATATTCCACAGGGAACAATAAAATAGCTTCCATTCTACTTGGTACAGTTATATCCCCTTTATTTTTCCAGTCCAATCTCAGAGGACAAAGCAGACAGCTGTGTGGATTGGTACATACTCTTACTTACCTTAGACAAGGGAGGGGTTGACACTATCAGGGAGATTAGGCTTATTCTGTGTGGCCATAAGTAGTAGAATTGCATAAGTGATATTCAAGTTATTGAAAGGCATTTATCAGTAAAACATGTCTCAATGAAAACATTTCTCCATGAAGACTTTCAAATAGCAAGAGCTGCCCCGAGATGTAATAGAATGCTGGGGAGGGCTTGAGTTTCTTAGCACTGAATCATTCCAGCTGAGACTAGGAAATGGCTCAGCAGGAAACTTCTTGAACTTTACTGTCCAATGTGGGGGCTCAAATTTATATTTTATTTATTTTATTTTATTTTATTTTAGACAGGGTCTTGGTCTGTCACCAGGCTGGAGTGGAGTGGAGTGAGAGCAAAGCTCACTGCAGCTTCAAACTCCTGGGCCCAAGCGATCCTCCTGTGAGCTACCGTGCCTGGATAGGAGCTCAAATGTAAATTTAAATTAGCATAAATTCCAAAACTGAATTTCTCAATCACACTAGCAACATGTCAGTGGCTCAGTAGCCACCTATGGTCATGGGTACCATATTTGGCAACACCGCTGTAGGATACTTACATCATCCAGTGCAAAGTTCTACTAGTTAGGGCTGTTCTAAAGGGTTTCAAGCATCAAGCACAATTGCAAGAAATGGAATTAAAGCCTTTCAGTTTTAGCAGTAGAAATAAAATGGTATGCAATAGCTTAGTGAAGGTACTATACTATTCATATTCAGAGGAGGAAAAAGAAGCAAAGCAAGAAATATGAAGCGAGGCTTTATGCAGCAGGTAGCAACCGGGCTGCACCCCGAAACAAGAGACAAACTAAAGGGACAGAAAATAAATATTTTAGAGCTTTGTGATCCACATGGCCTCTGTTGCCACTGCTCAGTTCTTCTGTGCTTCAACTGTAGCACAGGTCTTCCCATGTGGCTACAGACAACTTTCAATAACTTGAATATCACTTAACAAATGTGTCGCTGTGTTCCAGTAAAACGTCGTTTAGG